ACTGGATGGTTAAGACCAAGGTAAATCAGGACCTGTGCAACAAGAGTTGTAGCTTTTTGGTCTGAGAAGGTCAGTGAAATGCCCTCAGGATTTATTCTGAGATCCTGTACCTCAGATTGTAGAACATTTGTCAGTGTCAGCCATGTGGATGAGTCACGGCCAATGCTTGGCCAATGTGCTCTCTGTGAAAGCCTGAGGGAGCTCTTGGACTAATTTTGTTAAGGTCTCTTTTATTGTTCTGTTCATTCTTTCTACCTATCCTGAACTTTGGGGTCTATAAGCACAATGAAATTTCTAATTAATCCCCATTACCTTGGCTACTCCCTGACTTACCTGTGCCACAAATGCCGGCCCATTGTCTGACCCTATTACCTTTGGCATGCCAAATCGAGGAAAAATTTCTTCCATTAACTTTTTGACCACTGTTTGTGCTGTTTCCCGCTTGGTGGGAAAGGCCTCCATCCATCCTGAAAAAGTGTCTATAAAAACTAGTAAATATTTGAGTCCATATTTAGCGGGTTTTACTTCAGTGAAATCTATTTTCCAATATTGTCTGGGCCTCTCTCCTCATAGTCTTGTTCCTCTTACAGATTTAGAGGGGTGTGAGTTAATAAGCTGACAAGTTTTACAATCATCAATAATTTGCTTGGCCAGTTTATAGATTTTGGATAGCGGGAGCTCGCTGGTGTTTTGATGTTGGGCCAGGAGGCAAAGCCTTTTGATGCCCAAATGAGTTAACTTATGAACCTGTTGGAAGTAAGATTGGAGCTCTGGTTCCTTCATTAGATGGGGCGGTGCAGGCAGTTCGGGCGATTTGGCAGTTTCTAGGGTTAGGACAGTAGGAGTATCTAGGGCTGCTTGCCTAGCAGCTTTATCAGCATGGTTGTTTCCCTTTACAATGGGGCTAGAGCCCTTCTGATGGCTGTTGCAATGCACTATAACCAGCTTTTGTGGCAACATGATAGCTGATAAGAGCCTGAGTATCTCTTGTTTATTTTTAATTTCTTTTCCTGCTGAGGTAAGGAGCCCTCTTTGTTGATAGATAGTTCCATGAACGTGTGCTGTGGCGAAAGCGTAGCGGCTGTCGGTATAGACATTTGCTCTTTTTCCCTCAGCCAGTTCTAGAGCCATAGTAAGGGCAATGAGTTCTGCCCGCTGTGCTGAAGAGCCCTCTCTTAGTCCTGACGACCAGATAACCCAAGTCCCATCGGTCAGCTCAGCTCCTGCATGTCTCTTACCTTTCAGCAGGAAGCTGCTGCCATCCGTGTACCAAGTTACCTCAGCATCTGGAAGCGACAGGTCAGTGAGATCTCGGCGGATTCCAGTTTCCTCTGCCAGGATCTCCTGGCAGGTGTGGAGAACAGGCTCTGATGTCTCTTTGGGCAGCAGGGTGGCTGGGTTGAGAGTAGTGGGTGGACCGAACGATATTCGGTCCTTATTGAACAGGAGGCTTTGGTAGTGAGTAATTCTGGCGTTGGAAAGCCACTTATCTGGAGGTTGGCAAATAACACTCTCTAGAGCATGTGGAGCTAAGATAGTTAGCTTTTGTCCCAAAGTTAATTTGTCTGCATCTTTGGTCAACACAGCAGCAGCTGCGATGGCCTTTAAACAATGTGGCCATCTGCTGGCTACAGAGTCTAGCCTCTTTGACAAGTAAGCCACAGGTCGCTTCCAGGGGCCGAAGGTCTGAGTTAGGACTCCTCATGCAATGCCTCACCTTTCCTCTATGTAGAGGGTGAAAGGCTTGTCCACATCGGGGAGGGCCAAGGCAGGGGCCGACAATAGGGCCCTTTTTATCTCGTCAAAGGCCCGTTGTTGATCCGGGCCCCAGATGAAAGTGATGTTCCCTTTCAAGAGAGGATAGAGAGGGGCGGCCAAAGAAGTGAAACCCGGTATCCAGACATGACAGAATCCTGCAGTCCCCAGGAATTCCCTTAACTGTCTCTGGTTTTTAGGTGGAGGGATTTGGGTGACAGTCTTTTTCCTTGTCTCTGTAAGCCATCGTTTTCCTTCTCTGAGAGTATATCCCAGGAAGGTAACCTCTTTTTGACAGATTTAGGCCTTTTTGGCCGAGGCTCGGTACCCCAATAGGGCAAGATCTCCTAAAATTTCCTGTGTCCCATACATACAGTTTGTCTTAGAGTCTGCAGCCAGCAGAAGATCATCTACATACTGGAGAAGTGTTACCTCTGAGTGTTGAGTCCGGAAGGTAGCCAGGTCCCTGTGGAGGACTTCATCAAAGATGATAGGGCTATTTTTGAACCACTGTGGAAGACGAGTCCATGTCAACTGTCCTGTTGTTCCCGTATCTTGGTCCGTCCACTCAAAAGCAAACAGGGGTTGACTATCTTTGTGTAAAGGCAGACAAAAGAAGGCATCCTTTAAGTCTAACACTGTATACTGAGTTCTTTCAGGGTTCAGGGTGCTGAGTAAATTGTAGGGATTAGGCACCATGGGGTGTATGTCTTCTACTCTGTTATTTACTTCCCATAGATCTTGCACTGGCCTATAATCCTCAGTTCCAGGCTTTTTGACTGGCAGCAAAGGAGTATTCCAGGCCGACCGGCATGGTATTAATATTCCTAGGGTGAGAAATTTTTGGATATGTCCTTTTATTGCCAGGTGAGCTTTCTTACTTATGTGATATTGTTTAATGCAGACTGGGGTAGCCGATGCCTTTAAAGTTATGACTATAGGTGGTTGGGAGATAGCAAGTCCTAATCCGGCAGTTTCAGCCCATGAGTCGGGGAATTCTGTTAGCCAATTCTGAGGGATGGATGGGTCTTTAGGTTGCATATAGAGTTGGTATTCATCCTCAGTGGCCATGGTTAGCATAGCTGCCATAGGACGATGCACCAGTGGGTTAAGGAAAGTTACCTGGGGCCCCTGAGGCTCAAAGTTTATCCTGGCCCTTAATTTGGTTAACAAGTCCCTTCCCATTAAGGGAGCTGGGCATTCAGGTATGACCAGAAAAGAATGTTGTACTTTTCCTTTTCCTAAGTCCATAGTTCTCTTTGTAGTCCAGGCCCGGTATCTGCTGCCATTTGCTCCCTGGACTAAGGTTCTTTGATTGGACAGGTGTCCAAGTGGTTTTTGGAGGGCAGAGAATACCGTGCCCATGTCTACTTTGAAATCAATTGGAGTCCCCTCCACATCAAAGGTTACCCTGAGCTCGGGGAGGGGAACCGAGCCCCGTTCCCCCTAATCATCATCTTCTTCCAGGGCCAACATTGTTGGTTGGTGCTTTTGAGGAGGTCTGTTTGGCCTCTTTGGGCAGTCCTTGATGAGATGCCCAATCTCCTTACAATAGGCACACTGGTTGGGTTTTAACGAAGGGCGGCGTGGCTTTTTTCTCTCATCTGTGTTTCCCTGTACTACAGTAGCCAAGATTTTAGTTAATTCCTTATTTCGTCTTCGATCCCTTTCTTTCTCCCTCTCTAGATTCCTCTTTTCTTTTTCTTCTTCCCTTTCCTCTCTTTCTCTCACCTTTTGTGCTTCCTTCTCTTCCTCTGTTTCTCTCATATAAAACACTTTATCAGCTTCTTTCACTAAATCCCTTAAGGTAGAGTTTTGTAACCCGTGTAAGCTCTGGAGCTTCCTTCTAATATCTAGGGCCAATTGGGTTATAAAGGTCATAGCAACTGACCCTCGCAGTCCCACATCCTGAGGATCGAAGGGAGTGTACCTGTGATAAGCTTCCATTATCCTTTCTAGGAAGGCTGACGGTGTTTCATCAGGCCCCTGATTAATCTCTCTTACCTTAGCCAAATTGGTTGGTCGGTGCCCAGCTGCCTTGAGACCCGCCATAAGAGTCTGGCGATATATGGACAGATGCTCCCTACCTTCCAGAGTATTTGGGTTCCAGTCTGGACGGCGCAGGGGAAAGGCGTCATGAATGAGGTTTGGCATCTGAGTAGGAACACCACCCGGTCCAGGAACCAATTTCCTGGCTTCTGTGAGGATTCTTTCTCTCTCTTCCTGGGTAAAAAGGGTCCCCAACAATTGATGACAATCATCCCAAGTGGGCTGATGAGAGTACATAAGTGACTCCAGCAGCGCCATTAACCTAGATGGGTCCTCGGAAAAATGGGGATTATTATTTTTCCAGTTATACAAATCTGAAGAGGAGAATGGCCAATACTGGAGTGTTGGCATTTCTCCTCCGTGGCCGTTGTCAATCATCGGTCCATATGGCTGGAGTGGAAGTGTCCTGGCCACTTCTTGTGGACTCTTTGCTTGCTTGCTACGGGCTCCTCGAGTTCCCTGTGCTGGCCCGTAATCATCCTCCACTGAAGATTCAAGCTCGGGGGAGGTAGGAGGAGGAGAGGTTGCAGGAGAAACAGCAGGCGGAGATGGAGTGGGCACATATTGAGATGGAGGTTTCTCTAGGTCGAGATGCATTAAGTCAGTTTGAGATTCCAGGAGAACCGGAGGTGACAGAGGTGGATAGAGGCTGGAAGAGGAGGACTGAAACTTAACTGGCAAGAGAGGAGCAGTCTGAAGTGAAGCAGGAGGAAGGAAAGGTTTTACCCACCCTGGTGGATTTTCACAGAGATCTTGCCAGGTTAGAATATAGGGTTGTTGGTCAGGGTGGCCATGGCCTGGATGGAAAACTACAGTTCTTACCGCTTGTACCAGGGATGGATAAAAGGATCCCTCTGGGGGCCATCCCACCTGAAAGGATGGCCATTCTGAAGAGCACAGAGTTTGCCATTTTTTCTTCTTAACATTAAGGGAGAGATTGTGTGCTCTCTCTATATCAATAGAGCGAAAATTAAAAACCACATGATCATTTCCATTGATGCAGAGAAGACTATTGACAAAGTCCAACACTCATTCATGTTCAAAGTCCTACAGAAAATTGGAATAGATGGCCTCTATTTCAATCTCGTAAAAGCCATTTATGAAAACCAAACAGCTAACATAATCCTAAATGGGGAAAAACTGAAATCTTTTACTCTTAGATAGGGTACAAGATAAGGATGTCCTCTCTCACAACACTTACTCAATATACTTCTGGAATCATTAGCTACAGCCTTTAGAAAAGAGAAAGTAATAAAAGGAATAAGAATAGGCAAAGAAGAAAAATTATCTTTATTTGTGGATGACAGGATACTTTACTTAGAAGACCCAAAAAACTCCACCAAGAAGCTATTAGAATTAATACAGAAATTCAGAAGCATAGCAGGTTAAAAAGTCAATACCCAAAA